AAAAAAAAAGAGAAAATACTTGAGACGGCTTTCATATCATTTTGTTTACGAACTCTCGTTTTTGAAATTATAAGAATTATTTAATTAATCTTAATAGAAAGGCTGCAATATTTCAAAAAATAATGCGTTATCTTTATGACATCAAAAGAAATTCCATCATATCTAGCGGGAAAACACCTTTTTTTCAAACTTTTTTCTTTGGATTTCAATATTTTGAAACCAGAAGTCGAAAGTAAGGACTTCTGAAAGGATTCAAAATAAACTGACAACTTTTGTTCTAAAGCACACTAAGTGGGAAAGCTATGCAAATTTCCCTCCCAGCTGCTCAATGAGAGGAGGCCAGCATAAATCTTCTATAAAATAAACTTACTTTAAACCTAGAGATATAAACCACTTAGCTGATATTGTCAAGACAAAAAGATAACTGCCAAACTAACGCAAGTTATAAGGTCTTAGCATATCCTATTTGAGTTCACCATATTGGGTTTGTACTCTCTCAAAACCATATGAGCATCCATATGTTGTTTTCCTTGAATTCTCGCTTCCAGGGTGGAGGTACCTACAGAAAGACGTGTGAAACGCTGGGGTTTATCGGTACAAGAGCTTGTCAAGGACCCAATTGGACGTCAGGTGCGAGATACTTACCAATTATTTGCCATTTGCACAACAGTTTGATCAATACATTCCTAACAGGTACTCGAAACTTTCCTTGAATCTGAGTTTTCTTCGGAGAATATTCGATTCTGGATCGCCATTCAAGACTTGAAGTATTCTCCAAACGATCAGATTGACCAGAAAACTGAACGTATCTATGAAGAATTCCTAGCACCTGGAGCACCTGCACAGGTACAGCCGATTTTATGTTTTGGTGTGATTGCTGACTTCAACCGAAATCCAAAAAACCTCGGCCTAAGCTGTGGATTACGGTTTGATCGATAAATTGATCAATTTTTTTGTAAATGATAATCATGTTCTGATGCAGGTCAACGTTGATTCCCGAACACTGGATCAAACACTAGATTGTCTGCAAAAGGCAACAAACGCTTCGATGCGACGTCATGCTTTTACGCATTCAGAGGAACATGTTTTTACCCTTATGGCTAAAGATTCTTATCCAAGATTTGTTCGATCACAGATCTACAAAGTGAGCCACCACCTTATCATAAGATCGCAACAGTCTGTTATAAATCATGTTTCCTTGTAGGGTGTCTTATCAGCCGCGCAACAGCAAGGCTCAAGACGATTAGGATGGCGAAATTTCATTTTCAACATGGGAGCAGCAAAAAAGCCGCAGTCCAAACCAGCGAAACGGGATGAACTGCATTCACAAAATCTCCCAAAGCAGCTCAGTTCGGATTCGCTACCAGTTCGAACGGCACATGCTGTTAGGTGAATGTTTTCAAGTTGAACATTTTTTTAATATATACATACCCTTAATTAAAACCATTTTTTCCCTCTTAACCCTGAAATACCAAAAATAATCAAAGCTTCACTTGCGTTTGTCGCTCAAACGAAATACACATCTA